GATAGCTGGCAACTCCTAACTTAGCAGTTTGTAATGATATGGGGTATTTTCTAGTTTTGTGTACACATTTCTCTCCCCAAAACAAAGTAAGCTTCAGAAGCTGGGCAATGTCTTATCCTTCTGTGTGTTTTCTCAGAGCACCAGGCTGGTAATGAGTGACCCATTTGTCATGTGGGGAGATCTTGCATCTTTATGGGGAGATAAACTTGAAAGTTAGAGTCATAATGAAATTTCAGAAACTCTTAACTGTTCTACATAACAACACATCATTTGATCTTTGAAATGAAGTTTTAGAACTTGCTCACACCTGCTATTTGCTGTTACCTGGACTGTAACCCTGTAACTCCTTTGTGTGTAAAGGTGTAGCTCTGGGACATGAGATGGTTCACACTCAGCACACTCAGACCTCTGTATTGGACTGAATGTTTTGTTTGTTTGTTTGTTTGTTTGTTTGTTTAAGGAGCAAGCATTTATGTATTCATTTCTATTGAGATTGGCATGTAATATAAGCTTATGGTGAATAATGTGTCCATTTGATACATTTATCCACTATACTTATTTATTAATGCAGTATTCATTAGCATCTCTGTCATACAACATAACTATACTTTTTTGTCTAGTGAGGACAGTTCAGATTTAATTTCTCAACAACTTTGAAGTTGATACAGCAGTATTGTTGACTACAATCATTATGCTGTGCACTAGATTGGAAGAGCTTATATTTATCTACTAGTTAGTTGTAAGTTTACACCCTGAGACAATTTCTACTGATTTCACAAAGAAATCGTAATGAAAGCAATAAGATACTAGTATGAAAACAGACATTTTGACTAATGGAACAGAGTAGGAGCACAGAAATAACTCCCAGCATATGTAGTCAACTAATACTTTATCAAGGAGACAAGAGTACCAGTGAACGTTTCTCTACTTCCTTTAACTACAAAAGTTAATTCAAAATAATTAAAGGTTTACACATAAGATCTAATGCTATAAAACTTGTAGAAGAAAACGTAAGGCAGAATCTCCTTAACAATGATTTTTGAGGGGGCTATAACATTGAAAACACAAGCAATAAAAGCAAAAAAATATCAGGCAAGAAATCAAAATCAAAACCTTTGCATAGCAAAGAAACAAAAAAAAATTAAAATATTTCAGAAAGATTGGGAAAATTTAATCACAAGCCATATATTATATAGAAAATTATATCAAATGAATATGGGTATGCTTATAAATATAATTATATAAATAGATGATGTACTATATACATATATATCATGTAAATCATACATGCACACACATACGCACACTCATATATATTTCTTTAAATTAAAGTGCTTAGTGAATTGAATAGATTCTTGCCAATTAAATACATCTCCCAATTCAGTCTTCTCTTAAGCAGATGATTTATTTTGGATAAATAAATACATGTATTCTAGCAAGTTAGAGTTATTTTTTAATCGTTCATTTTGGAATTGAAGGGTGGTCTACAATAGAAGGAATGCAGGATATGAATTGCTTAGCAAAATGTATCAAGGCAACATTATTCCAGATTTCTGGGTCCCTGAGGGCCAAACAACACATATGTTGAAGACATTTTAGGAAATACAAGAGACACAAATAAATACAACACATGAGACATATCCCAGAGTAAAAGCTAATTGAGAAAGATGGTAATCATTCAGTGTATATGTCAGTGGTTACATAACAAGAGATTGTATTTCCTACAGCTCATTTGCCAAATGGGTTGCTCACCCCTAACCCTCTAAAAATGAAAACTCATTTGTCCTTTTAATGTTATAGTAACTCCCAATGTAGAGTCTTAATTCTTTCGCATGCCAAATCATATATCATGTGTCCATTAAAACTTAACAGCTTTCACACAAGTCCCTCAATCCTTATAAGCATCCTGTATAGTTTGGGTCTGTGCTGCTTTTAAACTATTATTGATGAGTAAACTGAGCTTTACAGAAGTAATAATTTGATCAAGGTTACCTAACCAGTAAGTGCTGAGCTAACCTAGAAATCTTCATGCATCCACTAATCTCCAAGGTCCATTGGTGAACTGATCTTCTTGAACTTTATTGGTTCAATTTTTGTGAAAGCATGTTTGGGTTCATGAATGGATCTCTCCTCATACACCTAATTATTTGTTCAAAATTAATCTCACATATTTGAAACTTGTTGAGAGCTGACTTCCACATAGACTGCAACCATAAACCTCCCTGTTGGAACCACTCAGGCATCCCTGGGAGCACCAGCTGCTGTGGCTGACTTTCATGAGTGGTCTTAACCACTGGTCTTTCCTTTTTTTGTCAGGATTTGGGGCTTCATCCATATGCTTACCCATAAAGTTGAGCAAAAAATTTTAAAGTGAGAAAAGATAATATCCTGCTACCTCCTTGTTTTCAGTCTTCATGCTACTAGCTCCCAGAAGAAAAATAATCGGAGGACGAAGGGCATCTTTGTAATGAAAGCCAGCTAAGAGGCTTGAGGGGAGGAGTAATCACCTCCCTCCTGTGTCTCATACAGTGTTACCATGATGGCTTGTGAAGTCTGTTAAGTGAATTGTGGAGAGCACTCTGGAGCTCTTAATTGTTCCTTTGTATTTTGTGCATATTGCATGCATCAAAAAGTGCCAATGATGGAATTATTAAAACTTCAATTTGCTTGTGAGGTTCTCAAGATGGGACTAGCAATATTAGTGACTTTGAGATGAAATGTTATCTCTCAGACAACATTTTCTACCTTAAGCATGACTAAGAAAATCAGCTCATGAATGAATGAATAATTTAGTCATTAGATGATGCATATGGCAATCTGTATACTGAGAGGGAGATAACATTCCATATAATTTAATGTGCTATATGACTCGCTCAGTAGACAGACTGGACCCATTGAAATGGGAAACAAGTTTACCTTCTGTGCGTGAGATATCATATATTTACACACTACATACAAATATCAGTGTCTACAATGGTGGGTTGTTATAAGCACTAAAGATAATATAGGTAAAATGCCCCAGTATGAAGAAGTACAGTAGCATCTATTATAATAGATTAGACTGAGTCTTCCTTTAGTCTTCCAAGTGCCAAGGGCATATCAGTCTTTATTTCTCTGTCTGCAATATTGGGTTATTGAACAATTAGTTTTCTTTTGTTCTTTTATCAGCATTTGCTTTATTGGCACTAACAATTTTGGAGTTTGGGGTTAATTAATTTTGTAACATTATGATTTTTACCAATATAAATCATGTCCATTTTTGCTTTGAAAGTCAAAATCCAATAACCTTCATTCTAATTTGATTTTTAGACTTTATGGAAAATGTAATTCTGCTTCAATTAAGTACTGGAGGCATACGTTTTAGTATACAATCTTAACGTGAATCAAAATGTTTGAACATAGTTTAATTTTATGCTGCAACTTTTAGAGTTAGAAAATACTTTAGAGACAATTGGAACCAAACTCTCTTTCTTTTCCTATTCTTTTTAATATATTAAAACTGAAGTGCAGGACAATGAAGTTACTTATCTCAAGTCACATGCAGAGTTAGTAGTAGAGAAAATATTAAAACTGAAGTTCCTGAAGATTTCTTCTCTTTTTTAACTAAATCACACTGATAGTCATCAGTAGCACTCAATAATATCATAATTATATTATTATCATTAGTAATAGTGCTGCTTCCTGTATGCATGCCTATCATTATTGCACAGTAGATATCCCTGGTTCATATCTTGACTCCCATGACACTGGTTTCCTCATTTGTGAAACTTAGAAGGCAAGGGAGGAAGGAAATCATATGCTTTTTTTTTTCTGGATTATTTTTTAGATCTGTGCATCTATGAGGAGTAATGAAGTTATCATGTGGGCAAGAATCTCAAATGGCAAAAACTCTTCAGGTCTCCCTATTTTGTCTTTTGTTTTATTTGTGAGCATGTTCAGAATTAAATTGTATGTCCAATTACAATAACTGCTTTAGCCTAGTTTATTACTAAAATTTGCTACATTCTAGATTGCACCTGGCAACCTCATATTTTGGATTTTTATTTTATATTAACAGGTCTACCACAGAATTACTGTTTTTGTTATTTTTTTTCCTTTCATTTTGTCTTTGCTTTGCTTTTACTTATGATAAAACTAAGTCCCAGAGAAGTGATTTGTCCAAGCTTGTCATAGTTAGAAATAAGTTTCATATGCAGATCTTTCTCAGGCAAATTCCTCTCCTTACCCCCTGTATCGACATTAACTGTAGATTAACTCTAGTAGATAAAACATGTTTGCCATACTGACTTAAAGGTCTTCACTTCTGTGTGCTTTTGCACGCCTGTTCATATGCTTTTGACAAATAGGTGTCAATTGGAGAATAATTAAGAAAAACTGCAGTTAGGTGCCTTGCAGGTACAGTATAGGTCACACAATGGGTGGTTGTTGACACTGTCTGCTCTGCATGTCCCTTCTGTGCATGGGTCTTGTCACCATGTTACTCATGGACCCCGGAAGCAAGTATCTATGGTAGTCTTCTCTCCTGAGGAAAGGCCCTGGTCAGTAGTTCAAATTGTAGAGTTTGGAGTCAGAGAGTTTGGCTTCAGATTCTTGCTTAAACACTTAGTGTTAATTCTCCTCATTCATTTCTGCCTTATTTCTGCCATAGCAGTGTGCCGTGGGAGTATGGATAGCCTACCCATTTCAGTAATGTTGATTTTAAACGTGACGACAGGTCTTGGACAGTTTGCATAGTCTGTGGAATGAGGGTGTCTGACATGTAACACATAGCAATTGATAACCTCAAACGATGCCTGGGTGGAGCTCCCTGAATTGAACCAGTAAAGTTCTTTGCCTGAGAAGACCCTCATGTATCCATCAGTTACAGCACAGCCGGCCACCCTTCACACCACCTGCCTGATGTTCTTTTCTAATTGCTTCAACTTGATTCAGACCTCTAAACATGGGCCTCCTTTAAGCACCCTTCTAACATCCCCTTCCTCGGTTGTGTTTCTGGGCAGAGGACAAGATCTGGACATCTGTTCAGCACAACAACACAGAGCTGACCCATGTGAGGGGAGCCAACTCTGAGAAGCCCTACTCCATGGCCTTAGACTACCGTGGCACCACAGAGCAGCTGGAAGCTGTGATCGATCGCTCCGAGCACTGTGAACAGGAGGTTGTTTACCATTGCCGGAGGTCCCGTCTGCTCAACACTCCAGGTAACCAGCTCCGTACTGGCCACATGGCCGGGAACGGAGAGAGGGCCCAAGCACAGACTGCCGAGGGGAAGAGTGTTTGCCAACAAGGTTGGGGAGGGTGGGAGCTGCAACTGTAGTTGATCGCCGTGTGGTGGAGAGAAACGTGGTGAGGCAAGAATTCAAGGACCCTGCTCTGATGCTCACGGTGTGACTGAGACCAAGCTCTGTAGCCTTTCCCAATGTTCTTTTCCTCAAAAATGAAATGAGGACTACTCCCTCCTGCAAAAGTTGTGCAAATGGACAGTTTTTTGTTTTTTTTTTTTTTTTAGAATGATGTCAGTTGAAGAGAGAGCATTTGAGGCAGACCTAGAACATGTTGGGGTGGGAAGTGTTGTTTCTAGTAGAAGGAGTAGCATGCCAAGAACCACCAAAGATCTGGTACAGTTTTCAAAGAGCCATGGGTTATATCTGGGGAGAAGAGGCCCAGGAAGCAGTATAAAGTCAGGAAGCCAGCATGATGGTCAGGGACAACCCTATGTTCCCCAAAGAGTGGAGCACTCAATGGAACTGATTCTGTTTTAAAAAATACAATTCGCTTTTAGAAAAAGAAACTAGGTTATCCCAATTTATCTTTCTTTACTGGTTATTTTTAGAGTGAATGTTGCTTAGGTATAAGCATGCTTGCAGAAGCCTTATAGGACTGCTTGCTAAAACCTCAAAGGACTTGTTTTGCAAAATGTTGGAAAGGCTTTGTCAAAGTTTACATATGCGTGGGAAGAGTCACTGTGTGTGTGTGTGTGTGTGTGTGTGTGTGTGTGTGTGACGATCAGATTGTCATTTGTTGCATGGCAGAAAAAAAACAAATTTTGAGATTCACTGGGATGTGCATTAGTCAAGAAAGGATGTCTGACTCTTTAACCACAAGAAACATTTAGTATACTGCTGTGAAGTCAGGATTTCTGAAAGCCTTGAAAACATTAGACAATGAAACTTCAACAAAAGATAAGGGATAGAGAAGCCTAACTAAATGTAACATGCCACCTCACTGATCTAGAATCTTTAGGGAAAGCGGTGTTCCATGGAAGTGAATTTTCCAGATAACTGTCACTTATCTCTTTAAGCACCAAAAAATCTTTCAAAGAAATTTTAACTGTTTGAAATGAAAACCTTTCTCAAATGGATTACATGCTTCTTTGCTTTCTTAAACAGAGAATTCTGAACATAAAATGTAACCTTTTCTTGATGACTCAGGATATTCATTGTGAAAATCAATTATTGTACCCGCCTCAGAGTCAACCAAGCTTGCAGGGCAGATTAGATCTGAGGCACCACTTGGTGTTCCTTTTCCGGGCGTCTTCAGATGACTTTGCCTTGAGAGATTGACATTTATATTTATTTCTACTTCTTGCTCTCCTCACTGTCGAGTCTGCACATGTCACTCATGGCTCATTCACAAGTACCTGTCTTTGGAAAATAGCTGGTCCTCTGGGTTGTATTGCCTCTTGATTCTTCAGGGCTGGGTTTGGTAGAATTTTTTTTTTTTT